CTCTTTCAATATTGGTAACCAGATCCTACTACATTCTGCCTAGGAATTTGCGACACAATTGGCCTCATTTAGCATAATTAGAGCCGCTTCTTTGATTTTTCTTTTTTTACCATACGTTTCTTTTAGGACTATATTTGAATTATTCCATTGAACCCTATGTTCATTATCCCATGCGTGTTTACATATTTGAGATCTATCAAATTCTCTATTTTTAATATAAGATTGATGTTCACTTATTCTAACATTTAATGGCCTTGATGATTCACCTAAATAAAACTGATCGCATTTACAAGGTATTTTATAAATGCAATTCTTTGTCCTTTCTTGTTCATTGTTAGGTTTGGTTTTGGACAAAATAGGTCTCAACGTGTTTGTTGTTTTGAATGTTGTTGAAATGTTGAATTTATTTATATATTATATATTTATAAAGAGGAAGTTATTAATAAGAAAATACCAGTATTAGTAAGTCAGTAACATATAGAGGATACATCATTTATGTTTTTTAAATAACGTAACATATAAAATCAGAATTTTGATGTTTGTTAAAGGTAAACTAAATTCACGAACAAATACTTACAATGTCGGGATAGTATTATGAGGTTTTTTTCCTGGTTTTTCCCTCATAATTTACTATGGACTCACTAACAGGAGAATTTTACTGTCATCATGTCATGTGTTTGTCTTTTTAAAGACGAATTACAAGCTATGATTTTTTCTGACGGATATTCTCAAGTTAAAGTTGATTTCATGTAATCGAATGAACTATCTTATAAGTAAAGTCGTCCCAGGAGCGCAACTCAACAATATTGGCAATATCATTTTAAAGTCGTCTACTTTAAAATGCATAATGTATGTCTGAATTGTCAATATAAATGAGTCAGATAAAATTAAATTATTACAAGAATTTTTTCACTATGTAACAAAAAACAAAATTTGTTTAATTTACTGTTTGTATTTTGAGAACGATTTCCGAATTGGAAATTGAAACGTCAATAAACGTATTTTTTATCTTTAATTGTGGCTTATTCCCAGTTATAAATAGTAATTAACTTTTAGCTCTCTTAAAATTGAATTATTTGTTCTACGGTCGGTCCAAGGAATTCGTAACATTCGTCTCCAACAGAACATTTCAGTGGCGTCTATCTTTCTTCTCTCCGATTGTCTCAGAGTCCAAGATTCACATCCGTAGGTCAGTATTGGGAATATTAAGCAGTTAATCAACCTCATCTTTATCGCTCTTGAAATTTGACAGTCCTTCCATATTTTGGTCATTTTTGCTGTGGCAACTTTTGCCAGATCACATCTACGTTTAATCTCTTCTTGTAATGACCTTGTGTTTGTGAATAATCACAAACACAATAGTACTTTAACGACTTAATAATCACCTCATAATTTTATCGGATTATAGGAAATCCCTTCAATCAGATTATTTTAATCTTTTCTGTAGAATTTTGAGCTAGTAATTAGAAAACGTTAGTAAGTATACCGATAATGCTACTACAAGCAAAAACTTAAAATGAATTAACGAAAATATACAAAAAACTTGTGTTAAACCTCAAAAACTATAAGGCGCTTATGTGATGCAGGACTTTTTAACACCACTGTACATAAATGAGGATGGAAGGCAATTAAATATAGAGTGGAATGGATTTAGATTTCAGCACTGTATGTACACCGAAAATATGTGGGTGTGGGTGTTAATTTATACAGGACTTCTTCTTTAAGTGCCGTCTCCCAATAGGAGGTTGGATATCATCATCATTCTCTTTACTTTATCTACTGCTGCTCTAAAGAGTTCTATAGAACTGCATTTAAACCAGTCCCTTAAATTCTTCAACCATGACACTCTCCTTCTTCCTATACTCCTTCCACCTCTTATCTTTCCCTGTACTATCAGTCTTAGCAGTTCATATCGCTGTCCCCTTATTACGTGTCCCAGATATTGTAACTTTCTTATTTTTATTGTGTTTATTATTTCGCATTCTTTGCCAATTTCTCGCAATACTTCCGTGTTAGTTTCCTTCTGTGTTCATGCTATTCTAAACATCCTCCTGTAACACCACATTTCAAAGGACTGTAACTTATTTATGTGTTTTTTTTGCTCAATGTCCAGCTTTCAAGTCCATATTGCAGTATCGAAAACACATAGCATCTCAGTGCTCTTACTCTCAGTTCTAATCTAAGATCTTTGTTCCAGAGAATTGTTTTCATTTTTACAAACGCATTTCTTGCTATTTCTATCCTGGCTCTTATTTCGGTTGTTTGAGCATTATTGTCTGAAATCCAATTTCCTATGTATTTGTATTTATCAACCCTTTCTATCGGTACACTTCCCAAATGTATGTTTGTTGGTATATTTGTTTTCTTTGTTATTATCATGTATTTGGTCTTTTTTATATTCATGTTTAGTCCATATTTTTCACAGAAACGGTTTGTTTTGTTTAGCAGTAATTGGAGTTGTTCAGCAGAGCTTGCCATAATCACGGTGTCATCTGCATATCTTATGTTGTTATAGATCTTCTGTTAATTATTATTCCTTCACTTTGATATACAGGACATGTATACAGGACACTATCGTTCAAACAACACTGTCATGAACTTAAACATAAAGTGAGAGTGTCACCTCACTAAAGTGAGGAATAACTTCATGCGCAAACTAACAGGTTCAAGCTGGAGAGCGCCAAGAAACCGCTGAGAAATTTGCCAGAAACCTGAATTAATATGTAGGGCATTCAATGAGAACTTTTGAATATGCAAGAATTCCCAGATAAACTGAAGTTGGTGACACTCTTATTATTAAAACCCAGAAAGAATTCAGACGAAGCCAACTCATACAGACCACTGTGTTTACTAGTTTACATAGGAAAATTCTATGCGGGTCTTGTAAAGAAATATAATTAATATAATTTCAGATAGACAGTACAATTTTAGAAAAGCCAGATCGGCTATAGATGCAGTGAAGAAGATCTCTGACACTGTAAAATGAACGAGAAAAAGAAGGCCCATATCATGTTATGTGATGTGAAAAGAGGATATTAGAAATAGACTATGGTCAAGACACCTACTCCATATCATATGCAGACGACCTCGCAATCCCAACAGAGACTAATATGAATGGGGATATTGAAGATAAGGTGACAATTTTTTACAGAAAAATCAACAGGTGGATGATAGAAAATGACCTAGAGTTGGCAAGTAGCAAAACAGATAAATTGTAGCTCATCAAGGAGCCTAATGAGGAGACCAAATATTGCTACCATATTCCAAAACCAATCTAATAAGGGAACAGTAGATTTTTTGGGACAATAAATATTATCAAATTCAGAGAGGCTATATTTCATGAAACCTTAAAGTTTCATGGATCTATTAGAAACATAAGAAAAGTGGTTCCTGTAGCTTACTGTAGGGTCAAAAATTACACCAAGATCCTTAAATGTTGTGATTACCTCGGAAATATTTGGTCCAATATGGTATCCAAATGAAATCAGATGTTTGTTTCTAAACGTCTGATTCACATTACCTTACATTTAATATAATTTAATAGTAATGATTTTTTTCATTTATCACTAAGTACTACTAAGAATAAGATTGATTCCTTTTTATGTAATCACATTTCGCTTTAATAGTTTAAGCTAAATTAAAAAAAAAATGGCAAGTACATAAATAAACATTACATTTAAGTATAGAATGCAGAGTGTGCAATGACACAGAGCATAGCATATTCCATTGCAATATTGTTTTCCACAATAAACCACAAGATATGAGAACAAGGCTATGAGAGACAACACCAGAGAATATAATGAATGTAGGTAGGCATGCAAAACACAGATAACTTTAATGTGATAGTAGACCTAATAAAAGAAATAATAAGAAAAGGAAACAAGAGAGAGAGGGCGAGACAATATGGGAGGTGAAAGAATGACAGAAGAGTCCAATTTCTTGGGGTGCTGTGATCTACCCTGATAGTCTTATGAAGATTTCCTCAAAAAAATCTGAACCATGAGAAAAACAAAATACATCATAATGGGAGACACAAAGCAAAAACAAGGAAAACTATCAACGATTTACAAATGATGAAGGAACAGAATATACATTTGAAAAAGTCACAAATTTCATCTACTTAAAGGTACAAATCAATGACATAATAATATGACAAGATATTACAAGCCTAAGAATCATAATGAGGACAAAATCTAAAGAAACAAAATAACATTGTACAAAACTGTTTTGTACAAAACATCAACAGTAACTTATGGAAGGGAAAATGGGTGTTAAGAAAATCAGAGGATATCACATTAGGGAGATGGAAGAGAAAAATATAGAGAGATATGATAAGATTACAAAGACTGTAAGGGATGGGGCACATGCAAATTATAGATAGGGATGGAATGTCAAAAATGGTCTTGGACAGAAAGCTAATGGGAAAAAGGAAGAGTGTCCTAGAGAATAGGTGATAAGATAGTATTCTAGAAGATCTAAGAGGTATTGGTGTTCTTGAATGGAAAGAAATAGCAAACAAGGTGAATGTAGGAAAATACGAAAACCAGGACAATGCAGTAAATAAAAATTGTTTTGGTGAATTCTAATGTAATACCTAATGTAAAAGATGGATCAAACACCCTAGACATTTGCAATGAGTATAGGATGACTATAAGAGAGATTAGTTCAGAGATTAAGTGGTGCTTCACTTAATTTCTGAACTCACAGAACAATGTAACAATGTACTGAGAAAATCCCAAATATCATAATATAGATATGTTAATTTAATTTCAAATCAATTTAAAACTAAGATCTATAACAATTTATTGTATATTATTAAATTATCAGTAATTTTAGAATATCCTCAACTTGTACTTGTCCTTACTTATTAATTGTGCTATATAGTTCAGATATAATATTGTTATTATTATTCTATAATAACTAGAAAGAAAACACAGTTTTACTTTTGGTTTTAGTACAAGTATTGAGATAACTAAAGTATTAGAAATTAAAGTACTTACAATCTAACTCATCTTTTCCTTTCTCAAACTGTTCAACTCCTACCCTCTTATAAGCTTCAACTTCTTTGTTAATCTCAACTAATTTCAACCTAGTAGCCCTTATTGCTTCTTCAAGTTGATTGGTCTCACTATTATCAATTTGTTTAACATTATGGATAGGATCTGGAGTGTATAATGGTAGTTCACTTGGCCTACACAGATTTGATTCATTTTTATTGTGGGATCCAGCTTTCTCTTTTGTATCTGTGGCTACTGCTGCCAGAACGGTGGGTACAAGACATCTTTTGAATATCTAGAATACATCTCAGTCAAAAATAAAGAAAAGACTTACAAATTGATAATATTTTGTACAATATAGAGTTTAAGATTATAACAAAATGTAGAAATTTATACATGTAAAATAAATACAATGAAATTTAAGTACAGACCTGTTGCTTTAACATTTTTACTTCAAATTTTTTTTACAGAAAAAATGTATGACTTGAAGATTACATAAACAAGAAAACAACTGTATTCTAATGTTCCCACTCACAGGATTAAAATATTCAATGTGATTTGACTTGACAGTGACAATTCTTGAAATTAACCTAACATTTTAACTACTTATTAAATGTCTTCTTTGCTATTTTATGAATTGCAATTACAGCTTTTTATTCATTTGAATCTAATTATTTTATAATAAATATTTAGTGATTTACAATTCCTATATGTCATTTTGAGAAAGTAGTTCATTTGTCCTATCATCAATGGCAATGCTATTTTTCGGTTTTGAACCTACGGATCCAATGCTATAACTATAATTTATTATACTTACATTTGAGATTTATTAACATTTCATTTGGTTTACGAAATATGTACTTTCTCAAATTTTTCACAGATCTTTATGTATCACTGAAAGACAAGCGGTTCATTTATCACCAGTGGCACTTCCAAATAATTTTGAAAGTCAAACGAAATAATTCTTTCAATCCGACTCACCGAAACTCACCAAATCCGTTCCACCCATCACTAAAATGCAACGGATTGACAGCATGACCTTGCAAAATTGCAACTTGACACAGCTGCCATCTGTAAGACATTTTGGATAACAAATCGAAAATATCCTAACCCCAAATTTATTTGTTGAATGATATTTTGCAAACATCAAAATGGTTGTTGATAAAAGCCCAATATCTGGCACTGTCTTAGAGCAGTTTGTCCTATTAGCAAAAAGTGCGAAAGGTGCTGCATGTACAGAATTAGTGAAACAGGTTCTAGAAGCTCCTGGTGTATATGTTTTTGGTGAACTATTGGATATGCCCAACATTTCAGAATTAGCCACAACTGATAGAAAGTACTTTAACACGCTTGAATTATTCGCTTTCGGTACATATAAAGATTACATAGCAAATAAAAATGAAGTTCTAGAATTGTCACCAGCTCAGACGAAAAAATTGCAACATCTTACCATAGTCACTCTAGCTACAAAATCTAAATGTATACCATATAACACATTGTTAATTGAGCTGGATATCAAAAACGTTAGGGATTTAGAAGATCTTATTATTGAAGCAATATATGCGGATATCATACATGGAAAACTTGATCAGAAAAATAGTCAACTTGAAGTAGATTATGCTATTGGTAGAGATATTCGTAATGATGATATTAATATTATTGTTAACTGTTTGCAAGATTGGTGTTCGGCTTGTGAAGGTTTGTTTATTTATATTATTGTATTATGGCTTGTGTAATTAGGTAAAAGCAATTAGTATATCAATGTCTTTAAATATCTATATATCTTTTGTATAGCTTACAAAGTTTTTTTAATTTATTTATTTAACATCTTTTAAAACATAAAATGATTGTTATTACATTAAAAGAGTGCTTACTACTGCTAAAAACTAATAACTATATTAAAAACTAGACCTAGACGGAATAAAATAAGTAAAAATACTGTACATCTAAATTAAATTTTAAGACAACTTGTGCAGACTAGAAATTTGTTTCATAGAAGAATTTAAAAAGTCTATAATATCACATGGTTACATTCTTCTAACATCTTACTTATGGGTGAACAATCAGTCTTATTAGTTGACAACAGTCGTTTGTTATTAATTCTTAGATGTATTAGGCTGAATGAGAATTTCTTCTATTATCCAGTTGCTGAACTTTAAAACAAGTGAACATAGCATTATAGGAAATCACATATGGATTGATAACCAAACTTTCTGAGATGAAGAAACCTCAATAATTGTTTTTGAACTCTTTCAATCAGATCAACATTGAATTTGGCTTGTGGTGCCCATATAATAGAGGCATACTCCAAGTGAGGTCTTACCAGTGCATTGTATAATGATATTTACTCTATTTACTAATGAGTTTTTAATCTTTTAAAAAATTTTGAATTATGAGTTATGAAGCCAAGAGTTCTGTAAGCCTCTCCAATGACGATCCAATAATATTCATTAAATCTCAAATTTTGCTGAAACATTACTCCAAGATATTTGCAAGTGTTCTTGCAAGTACAGTGCTAGAAATTTTGTATTGGCTCTCCATGCATTGTGTTTTTCAAGTGATAGTAAAAACATGACATTTAGAAGTGTTTAGAAACATTTTGTTATCATTGAACCATTGACTTACTGAGTTCAGATTACATTGCAGCATCTCAGAGTCCTGCAGAGTTGAAATTTCTAAAAAAAAATCTTAAAATCATCTGAAAATAGTAGGCTTGTGTAAAACTTCACACAGTGAGGCAAATTGTTAATAAATATAGCGAACAGAAGAGTACCCAAGTTGCTACCTTATGGTAAAACTGATGTCGACATAATAACTTGATTTAATCTATCAGAAAGAGATGACCTCATAAACATACATACTTCTGAATCAAAATTAAATTTGCTTAGCTTTTCAATAAGTATAGAGTGATCAAAATTCCACAATAAGAGTATTCTGATTGTTATCTGTAATGTCTAAAGCTAAATCATTTACATAAAAAACAAGTATATATTTTTCCAGTCCTTAGAACAATTTAAAAATGTGATAAAGAGACTGCTATTTGTGGGATATTAGTTTGTATTCAAGTTAATTATTAGTTTTTGTTAAACTTTACTAATTATTTTCTAATGTTGTGCTTACTTTGTTAAATTTTATATATTATATGTTGTTCCAATATAAAAATGGTATATCCGTTAATAAATAAATAAATAAATAAAACAAAGAGAAGAGGACCCATAATACTTCCCTAGGGAATTCCCACCGAAATGAGACCTTCACCTTTGATAGGTATGATTTTATCCAATTATAACCTGGCCCTCTAATGCCATATCTGTAAAGCTTTTTCATTAGTATTTTGTGATTTAAAGTATCAAATGCCTTTGATAAATCTAAAAATATGCCCATGGATATATCTTTGTTTTCATAACCCTCATTTATCTTTGTTATAAAATCATAAACGGCAGTCTCTATAGATTTTCCCTTAAGGTACCCATGTTGTGCATGGCATAACAGTCCATCACTATACAAAAAACTGATAAGCCTGACACACATGACTGTTTCAAAAACCTTAGAGACTGATTATAAGAGGCTTATTGGACGATAAATTTCTAGTAAAGTGGCATCACCTTTTTTATACACTGGTGTTACTATAGCTATTTTTAAGTTGTCTGGAAATATCCCATTTATGAAGATATTGTTTATTATATGACATAATGGTATTCATATGCACACAGTTTCACTATATTTGTAGGTATCCCATCATAACCTGAAGTGAATTTATTTTTCAATTTTCTAATTAATTCGGTTACTTCATTTATAGTTACTGGTGTTAGAAAAAATGAGTGTTTGATACTGTACTTTGGTGCTGAATTCTATTTTTGGTATATTTTCTAATAGATGTATAGCAGCATTTTAAAAATATTCATTAAATTTATTATTTACCATACTGGATCTCCTAGTATTGCTACATTATTATCAATAGAATTTAACTGTGTGAGTCTTTCGATTTTCTACTTTTTGACTTATTTTGAGTATTATATATTTCTTGCCCATACTGCACTTTTCCACAAGCATTTTATTATACTGACATTTTGTTTGTTAGTACTCATCTGTGTAATGGTTATCTACTCTACTCAACATTAGCAAATGGTCTAAGCGACTTTTATATTGATTTATTTCATTTGTATTATAGTATTTAATAAGTTATTTATGTTTTTTTTTGCTGGAAAGCATTGGTCAAATAACAAATGATTTTCATAAATACAACCCATTGCTTTTCTATATCCCAATTTGGTACTGAAAAAAGCTCCTCCCAGTCTTTATCTTGCAGCATTTACCTAAAATTTTCTTTACTGCGGAAATCAAAAATTCTTTTCCTAATTTTTATATTTTCTTTTTTGTTTACATTAATACTTCTGTTACATAAAGTTCACAGTTTGTAAAAATGTTATCAATGCACATCTTTGCTCTACATATGTGAGTCTTTTTTTTTCTTCTAAATACCGTACCATGCCTTGTCCCGTTAAGGATGACCTGGCGTGTGTTGGATTCAGGGTGGAAGGATCCATCCGCACGCAGTCCCCCCAGAGGAGTCGTGCTCACAGATACACCCATAGCTCCCTGCCTGCCAACTAAAGTCCACCCCCTTTATACAGGCTACTCATGCGGTAGGTCCTCTCCAGAGCGGTGCATCACATGAATAGCCCGTCCCCTCTCTCTCACTCTCTTACCTACCTTTGCTGTAGATTCCTCTCTAATATCTACTTCTTTCTGACAATTTGAGTTACTGCCTCCAATATTGCCTTGTACTCAGTCTTTCCTCTCATTGCTACCTGCATTATGGTATTTGTACTTACCCTACCTAGTTACCATCCCTTCCTTTCCTTCCCTATCCTTTCTAGATAGGCCCTGAAGGAGCCGTGTCCTGTTAGGAACTGGGTAAAAAAGTAATTGGTGTCTCTGTCCCCGCACTTCATCCAGTCTGCGATATTTGGAATTAATACCTTCGTCCAGGCCGCTCTATACTCATTTGTCCATTCTTCCTGCCATTCCGTTAGGCTGCTATTCCTAGCTATTATTTTCTCCTGCTCACATATGCGAGTATATTCAGAAACTGATGGCAATATATTAAATGTTTGTAATAAATAGAGAAAGTCTGCTCTATCTTTAGTTTGACTCTGCAAATCTATATTAAAATCATCTGCAATAAAAACTAGAGAGCTCTCACCTGAAATATAAATTAAAACATTTTCTAGAATATCTAAAAATTCCTACACACAAGAGTTTGGAGTACCATATATACAAAGAATTAAAATGTAAAACATGCGAACACATCTACAATCGCGTCATAGCACTATATACCAATACTTGCATGCTGAACAAAGTTTCACATGTACCCATCCCATTTCTGAAAATTTAGTATGTGTTTCCTTTGCATTTGCTTTAAATACATTCATAATATATTTGTAAACATGACTTCTGAGACTGAAGTAACCAGTATTTAATACATTATTTGGCATTTGCTTATAAATTACTTTCACAAAGGTAGACATTAACCAATCTTCTAAAACTAGTTTTAGCATTACGGAATGATCCTTAAAATTTCTTTAATATACTAATTACACCATTCAATTTCTATTAAGTTCTTCTATGCTTACCTAGTGCCGATGAGCAAGCAATGTCTTAAGTTCACAGCTTTTTATATTAAATATATCCACATGAGCCAGTCTATTAAATACTTCATTACAAATTTTTAACTTATTGTTTATTAGTGATATGTTTCTATAGTAATTTGTAAACAATAGATCTAGGTTAGTTATCCTTAACCTACTCTTGGGTACTCTAAGGTAAATCAACTCAATTAAACCACCGTTTGTGTACTTAATACTGTTAACAATCAAGTATATGAACATAATGGCCTTACTGTTTCTTCGAGTGGCAAGTAACTGCAAATGAAATGAGTCTAACATTACCCTGTATGAGACCACATATGGATATTTCTTATTTTCCCTTACATATACAAATCTTAAAAATTGTTTTTCCACTTTTTCAATCATTTCTGAGTTTGAAAATGCAGTAGGAGACCAGATGATTAAAGCATATTCCATATGTGGTCTCACATTATAGAGTTTTATAATTGTGTTTATTCTGAAATTTTTGCTATTTCTATTGACAAAACCCAAATCACGATAAGCTCTGTTAGTTATTTCATAAAAGTGTATATTGAACTTCATGTTGATTTGGAATTTAGCTCCAAGATCCTTCATAACACTCTCTTAACTCGATCATCATTTAATATAATAATCTTCAATAACACTATTGAGTTTTTGCGTATATGAAACTACTGCACACTTTTAACATTAAGAGTCATTTTTGAATCTTTAAACCATTGAATAACTGATCTTAGATCATCTTGCAATTTTACTGCATTTTTCTTCGTTAATAAATAATAAATAAAATAAAGAGCAATAATCCTAGTTTGCTCCACTGTGGGACCCCTGAGGAAGACACATATTGGTGAGAAAAGCAATTACCTACTTTTACTGTATTCTTTCTATCTGAAAATAAGATTTTAATAAATTAAAAGATTTTCTTGAGAAACCAAACTGTACCAGTTTATTAAATAGAATACAGTGATTTACCTTATCAAATGCTTTTTCTCAATCAGTATACAGAACATCCAACTGTTCCCCTGCCTCAATAAGCCTTAGCAATATGTTCAGAGAGAACACAAAGATTAGTTACTGTTGATTTGTCTCTTACAAAACCATGCTGGAATTTGCTGCTGGAATACCTTCAAAAATCTTAGCAATACTATTTAACAGGCTGATAGGCCTGTAGTCATTTTTTTATCTTTTTTGTGTATTGGAGAAATTGTTGCCACTTTTAAAATATCTGGAAAATATTCCTGTTCAAACGACATGTTAAACAAAAACGCTAGAGGTTTAGCCAAGGGTCCGGCCATTCCCTTACAGATATAGGGTGGTCTTTCATCAGGGCCTGTAGATTTTTTGGGTTTTTAATACTATTTACATCTAATTCTGTGATATACTTAGAGGTAAAAGAACCCCACTCAGTACTTTGAGAATTACAATGTGCCCAGTATATATTTTGCATACACTGATGCAAAATATTATAGCAAATATGATAGCAAAGGCACTTGCAATATCAAAAGGTGTATTAAACTTGGAGTTGTTTAATGTCATTTCTATGGGAATTCCACTATTCTTATATTTTGACTTAAAGAAAGTCCAAGAATTTGTTTAGGTCAGCAAGTAGATGGTTCATATCATATCTCATTTTGTTTAGTTATATCTTCTATATTTTGCATATTGAATGTATATTAATGAGTGTTTTACTTTGAAGGTGTGCTAAGCTGTGTGGAGAACCAAATCCATAGAGCCAACACGGAGAAAAATCGCTGCATGCAACGCAAAACCGAGGTGGAAAACGAAATAGTCAATATAAAAAAGACATTGAAGACTCAGCTTCAAGAACGATCTGATGGAACCGACGAAGTAATGGCTACCGACAGTCGAGAATCGGGGTCCTCTGGAGAGAAAGGCAAGAAATCACAGAAAATGAAAGGTCTTAAGATTCTTCGTTAACATGAACTTTTCTCAAAGGTGATACATGAAAAATGGTCTAGGCGCGATTCGTAAAACTTGTTGCAGGGCTTTTAAGAATTATAAAAACCAAACTATGTATCATTAGTTTTTAATAGATAATTAAAATACAGAATTTATGGCCAGAACAAAATGAAATGGGTTCAAAGTTAAATGATTAACAGGAAGATTTTTATAATTCTTGAAATTTGAGTGAATGGGGAAACATTTTCATGTATCATTTTTGAATTGTCTTAGGTTATCACTTAATAAAACTACAATTATAATTGCAAAAATGTATTAAATAATAAAAAAACATAGTGTTTCTTTATTTACTCTAGAAAAAAATTAAGAGGATAAAACTACCGAATTCTTTACAACCCATTCTATTACATATAACTGTGACACCTTGTCATTCTAGTACTATACGCAAAAGTTAAGTGCCTAGCACATAAAGGGAGTGCTACAACTAACATTACTGTACTATTCTTCTTCGCGTGCCATATCAGAATTATCCGACGTTGGCGATCACCATTGCGAAGGCTTCTCGATCTTCTGCAATATGGAATAATTGTCCCGCATTTTATATCCGAGTCCATTCACGAATATTCCCCAACCAAGAAACCCATTTCCTTCCTACACCTCCACGGCCCTCTATTTTGCCATTAAGGATCAGTTGTAAAATTTTATATCGACTTCCCCTTACTATATGTCCCAGATAAGACATTTTTCGATGTTTAACAGAATGAACCCACATTTCCAATGCTTCAATTTTGTTCATGATCGATATTTTTAGCGTCCACACTTCTGCACTATACAAAAGTACAGACCAAACATAGCACTTAACCATTCTTGGCCTTAATTCTAAACTGAGATGGTTATTGCAAAGAAATGACTTCATTTTCATAAAAGTAGTTTTAGTCATTGCTATTCTACGTTTTATTTCTGTCTGGATCTAGTTGGTCCATTATCACAGTTCCCAAATATGTCATTTTATGAACTTTCTCAACTTGGACTCCGTTCAATTGAAGCTTTGCATCGGGATGTGGGTCACGACTTCTTCTTCAAGTGCCGTCTTCGTTCCGAAGTTTGGCTATCATCAAAGCTATGCGTATTTTTGATGCTGCAGATCTAAACAGTTGGTAATTGGTGCAATTGTACCCATTCTCTTAAGTTTTTCAACCATGAATGCCTTCTTCTTCCTATAGATCTCTTTCCCATTATCTTTCCCTGTATAATCAATTGCAGCAACTGGTATTTATCTCCCCTCATAACATGTCCCAAATATTGTAGTTTGCGCTTTTTAACAGTAAGTATCAGCTCTTTCTCTTTCCGCACTCTCCGCAAAACCTCCACATTTGTTACTTTCTCTGTCCAGGGTATTCTTAATATTCTACGATACATCCACAACTCAAATGCTTCTATCTTTTTGGTATCGATCTTTTTCAATGTCCATGTTTCCATCCCGTAGAGGAGAACTGACATAACGTAACATCTCAAAAGGCGAATTTTAAGTTTTAGACTTAGATCTCTTCCGCAGAACACCTTTTTCAATTTAGTAAATGTGGCTCTAGCTTTCTCTATTCTGGTTCTGATTTCTTCAGAGCAATCATTATTTTCGTTGATAACAGTTCCCAGGTAATTATATCTTCTTACACGTTCGATTCTTTGATCATGCACGGTTATGTCAGGGAAGTTTTGTGGTGATTTAGATATTAGCATTATTTTTGTTTTGCTTATGTTAAGTGATAATCCGTGTTCTTCACTGCATTCTACTATTTTGTTAATTAGTATTTGAAGATCTTCCCAAGTTTCTGCGATTAGTACCGTGTCATCGGCATATCTCAAGTTGTTTATTCGCATGCCATTTATCTTAATACCTATATTTTGATCCGAAAGTGCTGTGTTTATAATGTCTTCGGAGTATAGATTGAATAAAGTCGGTGAGAGTATACAACCGTCTTACGCCTTTCTTGATCTCGATTTCCTCCGTTGTCTCTTGCTCTATTCGGATATTTGCTTTCTGGTTATAGTAAATCTTAGAGATAATTCTAATGTCCCTTTTATCCAAGTTTTTTTCTACTAGCAGTTTCATTAAGTGATCGTGATGAACTTTATCAAACGCTTTGTTGTAATCAATAAAGCACATATATATATATATATATATATATATATATATACATATATATATATATATATATATATATATATATATATATATATATATATATATATATATACATCCCGCCATCATTTTCAACTCGTTTCACGTTGCAGTAATTTAGCATCACCAAGAAAATCCAATATTTTCTATATATAAGTCGTGTATGTTCGTTTAGTGCACCTCTGTTGGCTTAGCACCGTTGTCGGATTTTCAATAGTCTGATTTTTTTATATATTTTATTTTTTACATTAAACCTACGTTTTAACATCGATCATTTAAAATCACTGTATTTCCTATCATTTTAAAGCCAATCGATGTTGCCGATAATAATACTTAAAATAACATCTAGATACATACATATCGATCCGTTTTGGGTGGGTCAAGTTCAAACAACGACATTGATACTACCTGCTAATATGTTGCGGTCTAACTGGTTTCTTCGTTGTTTAGATAAAAGGTATATTTATTTAACGTAGGTATTTTTCCCAGAGAATTATGTAGGGGAATATTTTACATAAATTTCAATTTACAACCTCTTTAATCCAAGCTATCGGTGAATAGTTTGAGGTAAATATTATGTTTTTATGGGATTACGCCTCAATTATTGGTTGTAATTGTGATAAGAATCACATTTTTAATTAACTTATGTTTGACATTTTCATTTTTATTCCGGAAATCGTTCTCAAAAACGTTTTTTTGTACAAAATGTGTATACACATTTTAGATAATTTGTACAATATACAATAAATATTAGTTAATTAAAAATGTAATTAATATTACATTTTTATATACATAATATACATAAAAAAATAATATTTAACTTAACCATGCAACCTCGGTAAATAGTTTTCAAAAATCTTTTACAGTTATTTAAATTTAAATTTTTGCTTGTAAAACGTTTTTTACATTATAAAGAAAAATGATTCAAATAAAAGTTGTAGACCATAAAAGGTTTTTTATGTTGAGGGATACCAAATTAAAATATATAAATAATTGGGCGAGGTAATTGCAAAAAACCCTAAACTCTAAAATATTATATTTTTAGTTATTTATAAATGTTAATTATTTAATTTTTTGCCCAACGGCAGATAATATAGCTACTTTAAATTATGGCAATTAATGGGTTTTTAAAGTGTGCTAAATATTAAGCAAATCACTTTGTACTTGTCCAAATACTTGTCCAATACTTGTATGTACAAGTATTTTTAAATTTGCAATCTCAATGGCTTATCAGAAAAGAAAGAGACAAAAACAGAACCTTATTTAGCCAATAAGAACTAAGATAGCATTTAATTCTTAAAATCATATTTTCATTGTTTATTAATACTAAGATCTAAAAATTGAAAGGATTTTGAATTAAGATCTATAATATATGATCGAAGTTATAGATGGCATACACAGTAAAGGAGTAAACTGTTATAACTCATTAAAATAATGGTATTCGTAAATTACCGCCACGGAAAAGTACCACGGAGGTAAGAACTGTCTGAGCTTGTTTTTTTTTAGATTCGGACTTTAAATTGAAGCACGCTTGCAAAATAATTAATATCTCGGCTTTTGTGGCACGTAGAACCTTCATTTCTTTACTAGGGTAGCTCAACCAAATAATAAGAATTGTGCTATTTTGACCTATCTTACTAAATTTTTCCGTTGAAAAAATGAACTCTTATAAAAGCGAGTTCGATTTACAGAATACACGTGTGTATACAGAGTACAGAGTGACTATCTGGGCAAGTACAGTCGTTTAGATAATCGCTCTTTGGGATTAACAGATTGGATAACTTTGTGATCTATGTGAAATATACCACACTTTAATAACTTATTAACTGCCCCAATTTAAATTAGTTATATTAAATGTCATTATGTACAAACGAAGCTATTAACATTTATAAATTACTGCAAAATAATTTAGGGTTTTTCGGCAAAATACGAAAATACGTTTGTATTTTGAGAACGATTTCCGAATTGGAAATTGAAATGCCAATAAACGTACTTTCACCTTTAATTGTGGCTTATTCCCATTTAAATAGTAATTATGTCTTGTTTATCTCTGCACTTGGTCACACATATTCCTTCAGGGCTGTAAATACTGACCACTTTACGTTTTTCTTAGTTTCTTTGACACGTGGGGATTGTCTATTCGGTTATTTCTTAATATGGGCTATCAGTAATTGTCTAGTAAAGTCAATACTATTATAGAAGTTACCCATACTTTTCCAGTAGTCAGTTAGACGGTCCATTTTAATTGTCCTCATTTGGAATATAAGCCCGAGAAAAGTCTTAAATTCTGTTTGTGTCGTCTGTTTCCAAAAAGCAATCCTCGATTTTTCTAAACGACGTTGTGCAAATATTTCGTCAGAGTCACTTCCACCATTCATTTAATCTACATCATCCTCGGCAGATGCTTCTAAAAAGATTGCAATTCAGCAGTGGTCAATCTACGTGTATGTTTATGTCTAGCTTTTTTAGATGTCGAACACATAATATTATTTACATCCAATTTTTTACAAATACTATAACTTACTTTAACATACGTAATTAACAATAAAAACATACTACTAAAAACTATCAATTTATGTTTTCCAATACTATAAGGGCACTTGAGGCACAACACGTTTTTACTCGATAATAGTTCCTGTATAAGTAAAATTGCTTTTTGCGGTTTTACCATCACATTCTTTACAGTATGTTTTAACTTTTTTAATTTTTCTATCGGCCTTTCTACTAGTCACGCTTATTCTTAAAATTTTGTAACCTCTTGTACACTTCCTTCTCTTATTATTATCTACATCGCTTTGCCTGAGATGGTATTTTTTGGGTGTAATTAGTCATCAGGGTTTCAACATTTCTTTATTTGCAAACGCCTTCGTTAATTCCAGTCTGAACTCAAGCATAGGTTGTCGCTTTTTTCGCGTTTTCTATTATTTATCAACTAAGTATTGACTACTGCGGTATTAAATATTAATTCCACTGCCACTTTCCGGTACCACTTTAGTATTTTGCGTATTGGGCTTTTGTAAAAAGCCATTTGATCACTAAAATCAACTCTTTTTTCACGTTATAATCTAGAATAGTTTGTGGATTTAGCACTTATGTCTAATTTTTCTTTCCACCTGAATAAACCAAGATACAACTATTATGT